TTCCTGCACTAAGTTCTACTTTAACGCAATGTTTATTATTCGGATTGGTATTTACGTAGGATGGGAACATAATCTGCAAAGCCTTCATATGTTACGTTGTTTTTTGATAATTAATTTGAATATTTTTCAATTACGTATTAGAACTTTGCTGGACTGCTACTTTCTACCAGAGCTGTTGTATCACCAACGAGCTGGGAACCGGCTTTTTAGTGCTGGGTAAGATGCTACAACGCGGTATTGGTTGACAGCCGATCAACGCGAGGATGTGCAAGCTGAGGATTATGAGCCGTAGTTGAACAGCATCATCAACGTACACTGCCCACACGAAGGGAGACCCGACGACGAGCAGGTGTACGACGGCTGTTCGCAACGGGACGTCAAAATCGTAATCGGCGACCGGAATGCTCATATAGGACGGGAGGCTATGTACAGACCGGCAATAGGGTCAATGAACCTGAATGCCGTATCGAACGACATCGGCCAACAATGCGGCCTCCTGTTGGATGGTAGCCCGAAGTACCTTTCCCCCCGAAAAGATATCCGCAAAGCCACCTCGAGATCACCTGATCAACACACAGAAAACCAAATCGATCAAGTTCTAATCGACGGGAAATTCTTCTCCGACATTATCAACGACCGCACGTACCGCAGTGCAAACATTTATTTGGACCACTACTTAGTTGCAGTATGCATGCGCACAAAATTCTTGACGGTGCACAACACCCATCGAAGTCGAACGCTGCGACCTTGGCACAGCTACTCTTGACATCCGTTTCGCCATAGCGGTACTAGGTACTGCGATCCCGGTCCGAAGAAATGACTGGTTTGATGGAGAATTCAAACTGTTATCAGAGGAGAAGAATGCAGCACGGGCGAGCATGTTACAACACCGCACGATATTGAATGTGGAGCGATATAGACAAGCTCGGAACAGACAAAACTCGGTTTTTCGAAGGAAGAAGCGTCAGCAGGAATACGAAGCGATGGAAAATATGTACCGCGTAAACGACACACGGAAGTTCTACGAGAAGGAAAGGCTACGTGCGCTAGCCGGTATGTGCAAGAACATGGACGGTAACCTTCTCACGAACAAGTGTGAGGTGATTGAGAGGTAGAAGCAGTTCTATGACGAGCACCTCAACGGTGATGCAGCAGAAAACGAAGGTGGCACGGCAACAGACCTTGGAGCACGTACAGAAGACAACAGGCCCCTAATCTTCAAGCAGTTTAGGAAGAGATCGGTCAGCTAAAAATCAATAAAGCATCTAGTGTAGATCAACTACCAAACGAGCTACTAAAATACTGTGGTGAAGCACTGGCTAGAGCGCTGCCAAGATTTGAGAGGAGGAGATATTATCGAAATAGTGGATGGAAGGTGTCGTATGCCCAATCTACAAAAAGGGCGACAAGTTGGATTGCTACAACTACCGCACGATCACACTTCTGAGCGCCTCCTACAATGTACTCTCCCAAATTCTATGCCCCCGCCTATCACAATTTGCAAGAGAGTTCGTGGGGCAATAACAGGCGGATGTCCGCGCAACCACGGACCATATTTTCGAGATTTGGCAGGTTCTGTAAAAATTCCGCGAATACAACGTGTCCACACATCATTTGTTCATCGATTTCAAATTCGTTTAAGGCGACGATGGATCTAGTGATGTGCGTTGTTTGAGTATCGGGTACACTATCGAGTCCCTTGAATCTCGAGGGGGCTACGGCAAGGTGCTATTTAACATCGCGTTAGAAGGTGTGATCAGAAGAGCTGAGATAGACACGAGTGGCACGGTCTTCAGCAAGTCCATCCAGCTTCTGGCTTCGCCAATGACATCTATATCATGACACGGAGCTTTGAGACGATGGCGGAAACGCATACCAGACTGAAGGCTGAAGCTAGGTGGATTGGACTTGCCATCAACGCATCGAAAACGAAATCCATGAAAGGAAGAGGTTCTAGGGAAGACAATGTTAGCCTCCCAGCCTGAGTTCAGATTGACGGTGATGAAATCAAGCTGGTCGACGAGTTCGTGTATTTGGGCTCACTGGTGACCGCCGAAAATGATACCAGCAGATAAAATCCAAAGACGCATTATGGCAGGGAATCGTACCTATTTTGGAATAACATTCACTGCCACACGAAGTTGACCATTTACAAGACGCTGATTAGACCGGTGGTCCTCTATGGCCACGAGACCTGGACTATACTCATGGAGGATCAACGCGCCGGTGTTTTCTAACGGAATGTGTTGCGTACCATCTACGGTGGAGTGTAGATGGATGACGGAACGTGGAGCTGCTGGAAGAACCATCCATCGTCCACACTGCAAAAACTGGGTGACTACAGTGGGCTGGGCACGTCGTAAGAATGCCCGACGATGACCCAATAAAAATTATTCTCGAAAGCAACCTAACAAGAATAAGAAGAAGAGGCGTGCAGCGGGCTGGCGACGTGTGGCCATGGATTGAGTAGAGTGGAGACGACTTCTTCGGACAGCAGAGGACAGCAAGGCCTTAGCCTGATTGGTAAGGGTAAGTAAGGTTTGGCTTCAAACACAACCAAGGAATCAAAAATATCTCCAAATGACAAAATGACAAGCGATCAACGAACCGAATAATAACGCTATGTCAGAAGTGAAAAGCAATAATGATATAATCTTCTTCGTTCTTTTTCATGACAAGCAGCCCGTGCGACACAACTAACTCGGGTGGTAGAAGGAAACGAGCAAATTGTTGGCAAGCTGCTTCACGAAGTAAAGCCGAAGATGATACACGTGTGTTAATGGGAATTTTTTTGTTATGTCTTTTCTCGATTCATATCAAGCTGTGTCCTCATCCGTGTATATTGCAACAAAGCAGGCAAGCAATATATCATTATCCTTCTACCACTCGGATCGAGCTACATATGTTATAGAGCGAGTTTGTCATGGTAGTCGTAGCAACCGTTTTGTCTGTATCGTTGGTTGCTTTATGTGTTTGGATTCGCTGAACACAACTAATCAAAATGGACACAGCTTTACGTTGATTTGATCTAGAAATTAACTTTACGGATCATGCTTTCCGGAATTCTAAATGATGTTTTAAAATGACCAAAGCTAAACTCACCGAAGTGTATGAGTTGTGTGTTTGGCTTTCATGTTCGGTGAGGTTTTCCGGACTACTTCTTCTTATCAGAGAGATATAGTGAAAATGGGGTTAGGGATCTAAAAATTGGCTCCATACATGGATACAATTCTCATCATTTTGGATCAGTTAGATGGAACAAATGGTTATAAAAATAAAAAAAAAAACTAAAAAGTTATCAGTGGAAGTAGCCCAAAAACAGTTTTTCATCTGATTTTATCTTCTTATATGGATCGAAACATTTTAAAACGTGCATACTGCAGTTTCCGGAAGCGTCTAACTACAGTCGTCGGAAGGCAATTTTTTTGAATAAATTTACTTACAACTTCCATATGTTGCGAAAGAAAATAAATCGCACAAAATTCATTGCTAGAATAACTAACTGGTGTATTTTTTCTCAAATATGCCATTTACTGCAAAAATTCGTCACGCACCCTGTAGTATTCTTTGAGCATTTCCACACTTGTTAATTGATAGCTTAAATTGCGTGGCAAGTACAATCATACTCTATACCCAGGGAAGTCGGGATTTTTTTCAACGTGGAAAATTCCTAAACTAGACCGGAAATTGAACCAAGCCACCTCCCAGGAAGTTGAGGGAAGTTATTTTTGAGTTAAAAATCTATAAGTAGTTGTCACTTGCTTACACGTAAGCAATGTTCCTATTTATGAGTTGGTTTCACTCAATATCAACTTCAATCTTCTTCATATTAGGTTTTACACCACTTACTCAACACTCTAAAATATTCCGGTAACCATAATATGTAATTAAGGTATTTAAAATTACACGAGAATGGCACTTGTCACCGGTGGGATATCAAGAATTTCAAATCGTTCTTCTTATTCTTATTCGCATTTCAAGCTTATTGCTTAGCGCATATGAGCTTATACCCCGTTCACATTACAGCGTATATCACATAATATACGCTGTTTTGCAATGAGCAGCACTCATACATCTAGTTTTCAGTGGAAATCCTACGTATGAGTGCTCATTGCAAGACAGCCTTTATTACGTGATATAGGCTGTAATTTGAACGGGGTATTATTGTGTGCTCTCAACGTAGGGTTCTAAATGCACTTTCACAGTTATTAATTGAGAGCTTTCGATGCCAATATCAATGCATGAGTTTGTATATTGTGTGGCAAGCGCAATGATACTCTATGACCAGGGAAGTCAAGAAAATGTCCAACCCAAAAGATTCCCCCTCGACCGGACCGGGAATCGAACCCGCTGCCTCCGGCTTGGTAATACCACAGACAAACAGACATAACACATTGAATATTTCTCACTGTAAAATATCGTCGCTAAAACATTACCGCCATCTGTTGAACAGATGGTGGTAGTGTGTAAACGTCAAATGCTTGTTAGATGAACAACTTGTGAGTGTTATGTCTGTTTGTCTGTGGTAATACCGTAACTTTACTGACTAGGCTATGAGGCCCCCAGGTTTTTAAATCCATTTCACCTATTTCGCGATTAAAGAGCCCAATTGTAACTCTTTTGGCATTCGTTTCATTGTAACATTTGTATCAAACTTTGGGAATTTAATTTTTTTAAAGTGAGCGTTTATTTGGCTGTCATACACAAATCTCAAATTAAAATGGGATTCTTTATAAATTTGTATCAAACTTTGGGAATTTCATTTTTTTAAAGTGGGTTGTTATTAGGCTGTCATACACAAATCTCAAATTAAAATGAGATTCTTTATAAATTGTATCTTGTAATGTTGTATTAGGAGACTTATGTACTTTAACATATTTTAATGACTTAACCCAGAAGAGCCGTGAGCATACCAATATGATAAATTATTAAGGGTTTTGTCAACCATTTTCAGGAGGGTTCAAGAAGTTTTTGGAAGTTTCAGTAAATCGTATACTTACAAGGATGTGTAGGTGCGAACGGGTACTCAAGCGTGGGTAACCGCGGAGGATGTGGCCCAGCCGGATGCAACGAAGGGGGACAGTGATAGCAAAACATTCCACGACCCGCTGTAGCGGAACCCAGCTGAAATAGAAAAGAGAAGCAGGTAAATTAATGTTAAATTGCATTCGGTACAACAAAAAAAAAACATTAATAGAATTATTGAAATTCCATTCTTGCCCTTCGCTTTGGCAATTTGAACTCATGACAAAAATTTCTTTTAAACCAAGATTAATCGGAATTCTGGCTGAAGTGTTTTCTTTCGCTCCTTTCCTGTGATTTTGCTCACATTCGACAGAAGCGCGAAATAAAGCACAACACGTTCTTATTCGCAGATTCGTCGCTCTCTTTCCACTTGAGCGACGGGTTCTACATCCTTTAACCATATCGCGGCCTTCAGATCTTGTTTGCTGGCTCATATAGCCGTCATCACCGTCATCGCCGTTGTCGTCGTCGAGTTGCTATCGCTTCGAACAATTAATACCCGTATGTATTAAAAATATGTGCTGCCTGCCGCTCGCTCGGGCGTTTGGTAATTGAATAAAACGAGTTTATTAAATGAGTAAGAAAATTGCGTGATTTTATTAAGGCAAATTAAACGAGAAAAAACAACAGCCTCTAGTCATGAGCACAGCGACACAACAGAATTCTGTGAGCCACTTACCCGAATCGTGTTAGAGTTTTCGATCGCGATAAGGAGGTACAAATTTTGTTTACTCACTTCTTTTGAGCCTCAAGTGTTGGTAACCATTTGGTATTCAACACTTTTGAGTTGGCTTACGACTGGCGGATGGAAATTGGGACTTTGAGCGAATTGTCCCTGCACCGAGAAGCTCGACTGTCATCCGATGGAGTGTTAGAATGTACTCTTGAAATCCTTGTATTTTTTTAGTAAGGAAGTGCAAAACAACGGCTCACATATGCCGCAAGCCTCTTGAGAAGGATTATTAACCCTCCCTCGGGAGTAGGTTTTACAGGGATAATTAAAGCCGTAATGGAAGGCAGGCCGGAAAATGCAAACGCGCTAATCACATGTTGTGAACCCCTTTGCGTTTTGGTTAGGGCTACCAACGGTTACTATTGAATCAACGTCAACAGAAATTATTACGATGAAAATACGGTCACCCTGGCCACAGCGTCCAATTCATTGTATTTGGTTCCAGAGCCAAATTCAATTACCCACCACCATAGATCCCATCAACATCGTCATCATAAGCATGGCTAATCGCAGCGAAAGGGGTTAAGCTGGCAAAGCATCGAAATGCGTGTCATGTGTCTGACGACGACGACGACGACGACGACGACGACTTGTAGGCTCATATGCACGGACAAGTAAAGTGCAAACATCGCGGGAGGCACCCAGCCGGCCAAAGTCTACACCCCAAATCGATTCGATTCAATTGAAGACCAACATGGCACACTCTCACTGACTGCCTTCTGGGGTTGCTGCTGCTTTGTTTATGGTGTATGGTACAATATTCATCATCAGCAGCAGCAAGACTCATTCGTCTTGATTAATTTAATTCTGTTTGATGGCATTCACTCATAACACACTCAGGAACTGTAGGTACTGACTGTGCGGAGTGCGATACGATCGTGGTTCTGGCTCTTCGACCGCGGGCGGGATGGGTCTGGCTGATAAATTAGTTTTTATTACAATTAATTTATGAATACATTATTAACAGCGTTTATAGTCAAACAATTTCATCTAAATTAACTTAAATTGAATTTGACGCTAGCACGGCGACTGACTGGCTTCTCTGCCGGATAGAGGCGACGGCATTCAGCGATTGTTCATGGGTATAGGAAGACTAAGCCAGCTTTCGTCTGATCACGATGAAGTAGGATGCAAAAAGCTGACATTTCCTGGAACATCTTTTGACTGATTTGATTTGAAGCTACATCTTGAGGATACACATTCACATATTCACTCATATGAATTAGGGACCTCATTTAGCCCAGTCAATTAATGCATGGTATTTTGAACCGGAGGCGGCGTGATCGATTCCTGGCGTGGTCTAGAAAGTCTTTCGGGTTGGAGATTTTTTCGAATTCCCTGCACAGCAAAAAATAAATTTTAATATTACATCCAAGAGGATGCACTTCAATCATGTCGAAAATCTCATGTAATTTTTATGGCCACAAAAATAAACAAATGCAGTTAAATCAGCGTTATATCAGTTCATGCACTGTATTAATGATAATTTTGTCCTTTTTGGCAAATAATATTACATCATATTTTTAACATGATTAAAGTGCATCCACTTTGATGTGATATCAAAATTAATTTTTTGCTGTGTAGGCATGCCCATTAGAGTGGTTCACCGTTAAATGGAAAAAAAGTGTACTTGACCTCATTAAGCGAGAACAACCTTTTTTTGGTTCCATTTGGGGTCCCAAACAACAACGGTGCAAAATTTGGGGACGATTGATTATAAACCGGCTTTCCACATTGCGTTTGAAATTTGTATGGGAAAACCTAGTTTTTTGCATTTGCATCCCTAGGGACTACAATTTTGCATGAACCATGCAACTAATTATGTTCAAATATAGCCCAAGAAGTACCTAACAAATTTGATCAAGGAAGTACGGTGCCAGAATGTATCTAAAAAATGTTATAGCCGTTCAAATATTTTTCACTTTTCCTGTCAACACTGCCGGTCAGAAAATATTTTCGGAGTATCTCATCTCATCGACTTTGTATGTTCAGATGAATTATTGAATTATTCATAAACAATCGATCTTTCTCATATGCGAAGTTGGAGAAGGGGGGGCGCTCCCTTCACTCATATCAATCGAAGTAAAGATGCAAACTAGGGGCACGCAATAACCTTTAACTCCAACGCAGACAATTTTAAATTAATTCCATTAACTACTGCTTTAATTACATTAATTACACAATGTAGAACATTAACTCTCGCATTAAGTACTTTTTAACTCCATTAATTACAGTTGAAATTTCGTAATTAATGTACATTAATTACATTTTCAATACTTTTAATTACATTAATTACGAACAGATAATTTTAATTACCGTCAGTACTACTTCAAAACGCATTAATTACTTTAAATACTTTTGATTGCATTTTAACTTCAACGCACCGGTTCTTTGTATTGCGTGCCCCTCGGATGCAAACTGATATAACGTCGGAATTTCTTACCTTATTAACTCTTGAAATACACTGGCCTATTGGTAGTTTATTCACAAGTTGCAAGTAAAAAGCAACTTGGAGAACTTCCTTCACAGACGGAATTACGTTTTGACGTAAAACCGGTTTCATTGGTCCAATATATGGTAGGGTAAAATATGGCTTCGGCATCCATTGACTGTTTTCGGCAACCAAAACTTAAACGTTAATCTCACAGTATTTTCTCACCAAAACACTTTGCTGAATGTATTTAAACGATTCCTTAGTCTTTTAGCTTCAATCTGATTACATTTTTTACGACTGAAACATACACACTTCAAAATACGGCTGATTTCGAGTTGCCGATAATAGAACAGCTGGTTCACACGCAGTTCAAATGGAAAGATTGCCGAAGAAAAAGCGGCTGCCGACAATAGAAACACCAACCTGAATAGTTTAGAGCGTTGTAAAAACGTTTTAAACCCGTTTTGGACAATTCTTTAAATTGAAATTGATAGAATAGCAAGCAGCAGATAAATGTTAACAAACAAACCCGTCATATGTGTGCGTGACTCTGATAAATTGCTCATAGAAGTGCGAACGCTGCTTAGATTGACGAGAATACGTAAATTCCCCTACATCTACATCGAAATCAGATCGCAAAAATCAAATTGAGTCGCTTTTTCTCATCCATTATGAAAAATAAATATTTACTGTGCAGATAATTTTTGCTCTTTTTGCTAAGCCCATAGCCTACTTAGGCTATGTTCCATTTGGCACATCGAAAATGAATATTAATGAGTTTGAAAATCGTTCTGTTTTTGATCATCCAATTTTCAATGAGGTGTTTGTTAAAATTGATTTCCGGTCTGTCAGAAATAAGTCTGGTAAAATAGCAGGTTTATTTAAGTTCCATCTGTTAAACTTAAACGAAAATTCACCAAATGAAAAACCGCCTAAGTAAAAGACTTTCGTTGGTTTGGCTGAGCTAACAAAGCATACAATTTGTTGAGGAATACACCGATTGTTTATTATTATCAAAATCGTTTTAGAAACTATCCAAATTTTTCATCCATGATCCCTTCGAAAAGGAATCAGCACTGTCAGAAGTGAAGTTTTTTTTTGTTGCGAAGGTGGTTTAAAATAAAAAAAATCTAAGACAACAAGATTTTTTGAAAGAACATAGTGGGATAAGATATCTTTGAGTTATTCTTTATCAAAAGCTTAAATTAACATGAATTAAATGTTAACAAAGGTGGTTTGTTTACATTTTATTCATGGTAATTTAAGCTACTTGCGTAGTTTAGAAGAGAAGAGCGTTTCCTTAAACTGCTATATTATAAATTAACAAAGAACAAGTTTCGTATCAGATACATAGGTTACTGCACGCTAACGTCTCGAAGAAACGCGATGAACCCACATTAATCAGTTTGACATCTAGTCGTTTTCCAATGACCCATCCGAACATTATAACTCGAGAAGATGGGAAAATCCGAAGTTATTTCAGTCTATAGCTAGACTTTCTTTGATATAATGTCGTTATTGCTGCTTACATTGCACCGATGCTACACCGCAAAAACGAAAAAGACATAAGTGAAGGGGAGGCGATACAATAGCCCTCCTCCTACGCATATTAGATTTAGCATTTTTGAATAACACATTTGAACATTTCATAATATTTCAGTTTGGAACTTCCGGAGAACTTTGAGATTTTAGGGCGTAATTGCTTTTGTAAACAAACACGACAATCGCCGATTTCTCGCAAATTAAAGCTCAATCTAAACAATTAAAGGCACAAACAGGTAGTGAAATGATTCCTCTATTATTTGGTATGGTTTGTTTGCGAGATTGAGTTTAAATTTACGAGAAATCGTCAATCGACGTGTTTGTTTACAAAAACAATTACGCCCAAATCTCAAAGTTCTCCGGACTTTACTTTCATTGATATGATTGAGG